ACCCCGGGTACCGTCACTCCGGGAACTACCCCGAGTACCGTCACTCCGGGAGCTACCCCGGGTACTAACTGTCCGGGGGCATGAGCCCGGGTAAGATATACCCTCTCCCGCACACACAGCTGGGAGTCACAGCACAAGCCACTGTAAGCGGTGTAGCCCATAAGGCAAGGCATCTAATGCCATCCCTTCGTATTTGCTAAGTATACGCATAAAACGTATATTAAACTGCCACTGGCATATTGTCGAGTGACATTTAACTGTTTGGAAAGTATAGCAGCAGCCGGTTAGCGAGCGTCATATCTATACTGATCAAGCGTGTGTCGGGTAGGGTATATAGCTACGAGGATTAGCCAACTCCGTAAGAAATGCAACGGTCTGGACTACCCCAGACACTTGATGGGCACCCAAGCAACCCACTCAACCTATCGCCACCGGTGGTTAGAAAACGGTAATATTATAAGGTTTTAATTTGTTCAAGTACGTCGCTTTTTCAGCGGATTGCGCGAGTCCCTTAGGCGAGAATAGTGTCTGTGTGGGACCACCCCGCACCTCTGGCTTAGGTCTCAAGATAACACATGGAAATGTGTCGAATTATTTTGGTGTTAAGAATATGGGCACCGTTCTTGGTGACAGGTTCTTAACCAAGAGTCAGGTTATTCTTAAATGTTCTCCAGATACTCGGTGAGAACTTGGAGCACTGTACGAGAAGCATTCTAGTACATGAATTGTTTCACTGTTACAGAAGCCGCCCCCACACAGGCCCAAACACAACTGTTACACCAGCCACAGATGGTATAGACTTTTGGTACTGTGTAGGGGTAATTATTGTGACCCTTGGCTGCTGAGAGGGAGGGTCTGGTACGACCAGTTCACCACCAGAGAGGGAAGGTCTGGTACGACCACTGCACCACCAGAGAGGGAAGGTCTGGTACGACCACTGCACCACCAGAGAGGGAAGGTCTGGTACGACCACTGCACCACCAGAGAGGGAAGGTCTGGTACGACCACTGCACCACCAGAGAGGGAAGGTCTGGTACGACCAGTTCACCACCAGAGAGGGAAGGTCTGGTACGACCAGTTCACCACCAGAGAGGGAAGGTCTGGTACGACCAGTTCACCACCAGAGAGGGAAGGTCTGGTACGACCACTGCACCACCAGAGAGGGAAGGTCTGGTACGACCACTGCACCACCAGAGAGGGAAGGTCTGGTACGACCACTGCACCACCAGAGAGGGAAGGTCTAGTACGACCACTTCACCACCAGAGAGGGAAGGTCTGGTACGACCACTGCACCACCAGAGAGGGAAGGTCTGGTACGACCACTGCACCACCAGAGAGGGAAGGTCTGGTACGACCAGTTCACCACCAGAGAGGGAAGGTCTGGTACGACCACTGCACCACCAGAGAGGGAAGGTCTGGTACGACCACTGCACCACCAGAGAGGGAAGGTCTGGTACGACCAGTTCACCACCAGAGAGGGAAGGTCTGGTACGACCACTGCACCACCAGAGAGGGAAGGTCTGGTACGACCAGTTCACCACCAGAGAGGGAAGGTCTGGTACGACCACTGCACCACCAGAGAGGGAAGGTCTGGTACGACCAGTTCACCACCAGAGAGGGAAGGTCTGGTACGACCACTGCACCACCAGAGAGGGAAGGTCTGGTACGACCAGTTCACCACCAGAGAGGGAAGGTCTGGTACGACCAGTTCACCACCAGAGAGGGAAGGTCTGGTACGACCAGTTCACCACCAGAGAGGGAAGGTCTGGTACGACCAGTTCACCACCAGAGAGGGAAGGTCTGGTACGACCACTGCACCACCAGAGAGGGAAGGTCTGGTACGACCAGTTCACCACCAGAGAGGGAAGGTCTGGTACGACCAGTTCACCACCAGAGAGGGAAGGTCTGGTACGACCAGTTCACCACCAGAGAGGGAAGGTCTAGCACGACCACTGCACCACCAGAGAGGGAAGGTCTGGTACGACCAGTTCACCACCAGAGAGGGAAGGTCTGGTACGACCACTGCACCACCAGAGAGGGAAGGTCTGGTACGACCAGTTCACCACCAGAGAGGGAAGGTCTGGTACGACCAGTTCACCACCAGAGAGGGAAGGTCTGGTACGACCAGTTCACCACCAGAGAGGGAAGGTCTGGTACGACCACTTCACCAGAGAGGGAAGGTCTGGTACGACCACTTCACCAGAGAGGGAAGGTCTGGTACGACCACTGCACCACCAGAGAGGGAAGGTCTGGTACGACCACTGCACCACCAGAGAGGGAAGGTCTGGTACGACCACTTCACCAGAGAGGGAAGGTCTGGTACGACCACTGCACCACCAGAGGGCAGGTCTAGTACGACCACTTCACCACCAGAGAGGGAAGGTCTAGTACGACCACTGCACCACCAGAGAGGGAAGGTCTGGTACGACCACTTCACCACCAGAGAGGGAAGGTCTAGTACGACCACTGCACCACCAGAGAGGGAAGGTCTGGTACGACCACTGCACCACCAGAGAGGGAAGGTCTGGTACGACCACTGCACCACCAGAGAGGGAAGGTCTAGTACGACCACTTCACCAGAGAGGGAAGGTCTGGTACGACCACTTCACCAGAGAGGGAAGGTCTAGTACGACCACTTCACCAGAGAGGGAAGGTCTGGTACGACCACTTCACCAGAGAGGGAAGGTCTGGTACGACCACTTCACCAGAGAGGGAAGGTCTGGTACGACCACTTCACCAGAGAGGGAAGGTCTAGCACGACCACTTCACCAGAGAGGGAAGGTCTAGTACGACCACTTCACCAGAGAGGGAAGGTCTAGTACGACCACTGCACCACCAGAGAGGGAAGGTCTAGCACGACCACTGCACCACCAGAGAGGTAAGGTCTGGTACGACCACTTCACCAGAGAGGGAAGGTCTAGCACGACCACTGCCCCACCAGAGAGGTAAGGTCTGGTACGACCACTTCACCAGAGAGGGAAGGTCTAGCACGACCACTGCACCACCAGAGAGGGAAGGTCTAGCACGACCACTGCACCACCAGAGAGGGAAGGTCTAGTACGACCACTGCACCACCAGAGAGGGAAGGTCTAGTACGACCACTGCACCACCAGAGAGGGAAGGTCTAGTACGACCACTGCACCACCAGAGGGGGAAGGTCTAGCACGACCACTGCACCACCAGAGAGGGAAGGTCTAGTACGACCACTGCACCACCAGAGGGGGAAGGTCTAGTACGACCACTGCACCACCAGAGAGGGAAGGTCTAGCACGACCACTTCACCAGAGAGGGAAGGTCTAGCACGACCACTTCACCAGAGAGGGAAGGTCTAGCACGACCACTGCACCACCAGAGAGGGGCACCAAGGGAGCGGATCTACTATGACAGGAGTCACTAATCCCAGGAGGAGCTCCGCTGTGACTTTAGTCCACATTACTTACAAATTTTCGATCTACATCTCAGATTTAATACAAATCTGAGATACAGCGGGCAAATGTTCAAGAACTGTCTCAGTGTGTCGAGGAACAGCCCCATTGAAGACGATAACGATGGTTGGCCAGACCTCTGGTTCATAAGACTCACCCCCACCTCCTCCCCCTCCTCCCTCTCTTCCATAACAGTTCAACCTTCCGGCTCCCACAAACACTGGGCATTTATCGTCCGTTATCCCCCGAGGAATAACGGACGCGGGATGTTCGTTATCCCCGGAGGTATTTGGTCGACCGTCCTGGGAGCTGTATACATGCATACATTCGTGTGTGTGTATATATATTATATATATATATATATATATATATATATATATATATATATATATATATATATATATATATATATATATTATATGCATACATACGTTCATACATACATTCATTTATAGGGGTGCGGGCCCTGTGGCTCTGGCCGCCTCTCTAAAATATTATTCATTACTGTGTTATTCAGGCAGCGGATGCGTAGTTACGACTTGTATATTGGCTTCAGTAAGATTATAGCCAACGTGTTTAAGAACTTCCTCTGCTCTGCTAAATCTCAGTTGAAATTTTATTTTTGCTTTTTAACTGTGCACTGTGTTAGAAAATGTTTACAGTGGTCTGTGAGGTACTTCTCCACACGGCTCACATTTCCTAAGCTTTACTCATCCACTTACGAAACCTGTACATCTTTCCTCAATCATGCCGGCTCTGTTTACATTTATTAAACAGTCTACAAGTTTCTAAACTTCACAACCCGAGGTTATTATTGTTAAAGACGCTTCGGACCTCATAAACTGTTTAATAAGTGTAAACAAACCCGCCATGACTGAGGACAGATGTACAGGTTTCGTAAATGGTTGTGGGAATTATTAATGAATCCTGGTCCAGGTGAGGTCTTTCCACACGACCTCCAGTAAGAATACTAGTGGCTCCAGGACCTGTACCCGGCCTCCGGCTACAGCGAGGCCTGTACCCGGCCTCCGGCTACAGCGAGACCAGTACCCGGCCTCCGTCTACAGCGAGACCAGTACCCGGCCTCCGGCTACAGCGAGGCCTGTACTCGGCCTGCGGCTACAGCGAGACCAGTACCCGGCCTCCGGCTACAGTACCGCCACCGAGCACCCAATATAACCTCCGCTAACGAGCTGTGGAACAACCGCAGCTGGGCACGAGACGTAAGTCACAGCACCACAAGAGGAAGCTCCGAGGCATTAAGAGAGGCAGATCAATCTCCGGGAGGCGAGGCGTGGAGGCTGCCACTCTCGCTACACATTCATTTGTTTTGGTCATATTAACCTGTCAAGCTACCGTCTATGGTGGGCCACGCCCCCCGCGTCCCCACCTGGGCCACGCCCCCCGCGTCCCCACCTGGGCCACGCCCCCCGCGTCCCCACCTGGGCCACGCCCCCCCGTGGCCCACTGGAAAAGGCGCCGAAAGGGCCAACTGGTGGTGGTGCCCCGCCCCCCCCTCCCTTCAGAGGGACACATGGCACCTCATGGCCCTCCATATACACCCTTGGCACTCACCAGACATGGCCTTCCCGCTCATATAGTCTTGTTTACAGATGAATTTGTTCTCGTCGAGTACATAGAGTTCCTCGCCGGTGGAGAGCTGCTTCCGGCAGACGCAGCAGGTGAAGCACTTGAGGTGGAACACGCGGTCCCGAGCCTTCCTTACGAGGTCCTGCGGGGAGATGCCCTGCAGACATCCCGAACACTTCGTCCCGAACCGCCTGCAGGAGGGAGAGAGAGAGAGAGACCAAGCTTTAGTCCAGGCTGGGGGCTGGCCACGGTCACAAGTGTCTCAAATGTCTGGTTTTTCGTTTTGAAGATGGTGTGTCACTAACTCTAATGGGTTTGATGAATTACGCCAGGTGTGAGGCGTGTGTGTGTGTGTGTGTAGGGCACCAGGTGTGTGTGTGTGTGTAACGCCAGGTGTGAGGTGGGGTAGGGCACCAGGTGTGTGTGTGTGTGTAACGCCAGGTGTGAGGTGGGGTAGGGCACCAGGTGTGTGTGTGTGTAACGCCAGGTGTGAGGTGGGGTAGGGCACCAGGTGTGTGTGTGTGTGTAACGCCAGGTGTGAGGTGGGGTAGGGCACCAGGTGTGTGTGTGTGTGTAACGCCAGGTGTGAGGTGGGTGTAGGGCACCAGGTGTGTGTGTGTGTGTGTAGGGCACCAGGTGTGTGTGTGTGTAACGTCAGGTGTGAGGTGGGTGTAGGGCACCAGGTGTGTGTGTGTGTAACGTCAGGTGTGAGGTGGGTGTAGGGCACCAGGTGTGTGTGTGTGTGTAACGTCAGGTGTGAGGTGTGTGTGTGTGTGTGTGTGTAACGTCAGGTTTGAGGTGTGTGTGTGTGTAACGTCAGGTGTGAGGTGTGTGTGTGTGTGTGTAACGCCAGGTGTGAGGTGTGTGTGTGTGTGTGTGTGTGTGTGTGTGTGTAACGCCAGGTGTAAGGTGGGTGTAGGGCACCATGTGTGTGTGTGTGTAACGTCAGGTTTGAGGTGTGTGTGTGTGTAACGTCAGGTGTGAGGTGTGTGTGTGTGTGTGTGTAACGCCAGGTGTAAGGTGGGTGTAGGGCACCAGGTGTGTGTGTGTGTGTGTGTGTGTGTGTGTGTGTGTGTGTGTGTGTGTGTGTGTGTGTGTAACGTCAGGTTTGAGGTGTGTGTGTGTGTGTGTGTGTGTGTGTAACGTCAGGTTTGAGGTGTGTGTGTGTGTGTGCGTGTGAAGGAAGGCCCACCACCACTTGCTGGACTAGTGAGATTAATGACTTCATTGAGCGGACAGACTTAGGAGCGCTGGTTACACCTGGGAATAAGAGCATCTATGCCTCTCCTCTAATCCCCTCAGAGGGAAGCCACAATCCCCCCTCAAACCCCAAATAGATCCTCTCTAATTCCCCCTCCCTCGTCTCCCCCCCACGGCCCTCTCTCCCCTCACAAGGGGTCGGTGTCGATTGCAATTTAGCAAGCCAGTGAGCAAAGCTGAGGGTGATCCCATTTTCCCTGAAGCACGTCCCCTCGGCCAACCCTCTCAAGCAAGGTTGCCAAGGTCGGCCTCCAGCACCACGCCTACACCGCTCACCTCTACACACTCCCTTCACCGTAACCAAAATGGAGACACACACACACTTCCAAGGGTGACTAAAACAAAATAAATGTATCCAAGAAAGGGAAGGGAAGGGAAGGGAAGGGGGAGAGAGCGAGGAAGGCGAACACAAAGCGACCAGCGGCCGCGACAACACTGGCGGAGCGATCTGCATTTCCGAAGAGATTTTTAGCTTTATTTTGATCAGGTTATTCCGAGGGCTCGACTGATCGCTGGTATACGGCAGATTACCCTACAGCCTCGTTCCCCTCACGCCCTCCTCGCCTCCTTCACCCTGCTGTGCTCAGCTGCTGGGGCTCCTCCCTTAAGATCTATGGTGTAATAGGCTAAGCTGGAATACAATACATTTGCTAATAAATTGATTTCTTAGGTAAATTTTGTCTAACTGTTTCAGCTTATTTAATGCCTTGTAATCAATATAAATTATAACGTCAGTCCTAATTTATATGATTTTGGACTAAAATGTCAATTGGAAAAAGTAGAGGGTTTTCACGCAAAATATCAAAGCCCCCCAAATACTATTATTTGAATGTACATAATACCTATCCTTAAAGGTGGAAGGTTAGAGTGGGCGGGTAGTGGAGTGTGTGTAGAGCGGGCCAGGGGTCGAGGGGGCTCCCCCTGACCCAGGCTGACTGCAACGCGTCCCCTGGCCCGCCCAGACTGCCATAAGCTTCTCTGATCCTGCTTTAGAGGTTTGTTTTAATCAGGGCGAGCTGGGGTGAGGGATGGCATCACGGCGGCGAAGCGGTTCTTTTAGCAGGTGCGGGGATCACCGCCGCCAGACGGTTGGCAAGAAATTATTTTTTGTTGTCATTTTTTTCGCTCATGAAGAAGTCCATATTAATGCCGCTTTTTACACATTCGTAGTAATTATTTTTCTATATTTCCCTTCGTCTGGGCAACAATGATAAGGCGAGTAAGAATGAACGAAGTGACTTGAAAAAGGCTTTGGGTTTCATTCATGGCAACTGAGCGTAGGGGGGATTTGCTCGTTTTCTATTACGACCGAGAAATTGCCGCCGATTGTTCAGCTTTGACGGTGGAAAATGAGTTTTCATAGAGATTTTCTAGGATGAGCCGAGATGCCTTTCATAAAAATGTGGAGCAGAAATGGGTAGGCGATAGGATGTCACGTATCCACTTTTGACGAATAAAATGTCGAAAAATAGTACCTCGCCCGTGGGAGTTGGACTCTCAACTGACTAGCTGGTGGCGGGAAGAACACCATACATGCCAACTTATTTCACGCAATTTTGAATGTACGCCCGTTTTTTCCCCCCCTTTTGTGTATTTCATGGGTTCACCTTTTGAAATTACAAGACCTTTGTGAGAATATTTTTTTTTACCAATTGAGGGAAGGAAGGACATTGTCTTTGATGATGCTCTACTTATAGGGAATAATTCCGGGCGTTTACGAATGCTGTCGCGAACTTTTGCCTTTTTTTAGCAACAATTTATATTCCGAAAGGGTTAAAGACACATTAAAATATTGTAAAATTGTATTTCTTGCGACAGAATGCACATCACCGTGTCGTGCTCCCCACACATAAAGCTGTGTTTCACACTTTATGGATGTTATGGCTGTCTTCGCCTCTTGTAAATTGTAAATGATGACATATTATTAACAATGAGAAAGAACTGGGGACGTGAGAATGATACCAGCTTTTTATGATATATGAGAAGTATTAGTCCCCAAATAGCGGAAATGGAGTCTCTGCGCAGGGAGGAACAGTAAACGCAATTTGGTCTGATTGTCGGTTGCATAAACAGCTTCCGGTGTAGGCCGGTGGTTAGGGTGCGTCGCTGTGCCCTTCGTCGTTAACGTCCACCAATTGCTTCCCTTTTTCTTTGGGCAAGAAAAGCAACGGGTCATTTCCCCTCCGAAGCGCCAGCTCAGAGCGGCGGTGCTCGTCTGGGGACGGTAGAGCGCTAGTTCCCGGCCCCTGGCACTGTCACGTCCATTCAATTACCCAGTTCGACAGCACCAAGGACGGGTGACACCACTATTAAGCGGGGTGACACCTCGCTCGACAGCACCAGGGACGGGTGACACCATATTAAGCGGGGTGACACCTCGCTCGACAGCACCAGGGACGGGTGACACCATATTAAGCGGGGTGACACCTCGCTCGACAGCACCAGGGACGGGTGACACCACTATTAAGCGGGGTGACACCTCGCTCGACAGCACCAGGGACGGGTGACACCACAGATAATCTACCTCTATAAGCCTATTGAGTACATAAATTTACTTAAAGTAATGCTTGACGAAACGGAACTCTCTCTACTCGCTTCGTCCTCGTCTTGGTCACTTCGTCCTCGCCCTGGTCACTTCGTCCTCACCGTCCCCCCTCCTCCCAGCCACCAGCACTAACCGTCTATATCCTACTGCCACCATTCCGAGCTCGATCCCGCTATTATCCTCACCTTACTGTTAAGTTTTCACAGACACACGATATTTAATTGAACTTATCCTCCTTCCACTTTATATCTTAATCCAGCGATTTCATTTTTTTTTGGTGGAAGTCGCAGAAAAGGTCTGTCAATACTTCTCTCTCTTTCCCAGGCATTTATGAGGTATTTTTAGATCACTGTAGATATACATGTGTGGTGTGGATCCCAGCAGATATTCATGGGGACCCCAGCAGATATACATGTGGACCCCAGCAGATATACATGTGGACCCCAGCAGATATACATGTGGACCCCAGCAGATATACATGTGGACCCCAGCAGATATACATGTGGACCCCAGCAGATATACATGTGGACCCCAGCAGATATACATGGGGACCCCAGCAGATATACATGTGGACCCCAGCAGATATACACGTGGACCCCAGTAGATATACACGTGGACCCCAGCAGATATACACGTGGACCCCAGCAGATATACACGTGGACCCCAGTAGATATACACGTGGACCCCAGCAGATATACACGTGGACCCCAGCAGATATACACGTGGACCCCAGCAGATATACATGTGGCCCCCAGCAGATATACATGTGGACCCCAGCAGATATACCTGTGGACCCCAGCAGATATACCTGTGGACCCTAGCAGATATACCTGTGGACCCCAGCAGATATACATGTGGACCCCAGCAGATATACCTGTGGACCCCAGCAGATATACCTGTGGACCCCAGCAGATATACCTGTGGACCCCAGCAGATATACATGTGGCCCCCAGCAGATATACATGTGGCCCCCAGCAGATATACATGTGGCCCCCAGCAGATATACATGTGGCCCCCAGCAGATATACCTGTGGACCCCAGCAGATATACATGTGGACCCCAGCAGATATACATGTGGCCCCCAGCAGATATACATGTGGACCCCAGCAGATATACATGTGGACCCCAGCAGATATACATGTGGACCCCAGCAGATATACATGTGGCCCCCAGCAGATATACATGTGGCCCCCAGCAGATATACATGTGGACCCCAGCAGATATACATGTGGACCCCAGCAGATATACTTGTGGACCCCAGCAGATATACATGTGGCCCCCAGCAGATATACATGTGGCCCCCAGCAGATATACATGTGGCCCCCAGCAGATATACATGTGGCCCCCAGCAGATATACATGTGGCCCCCAGCAGATATACATGTGGACCCCAGCAGATATACATGTGGACCCCAGCAGATATACATGTGGACCCCAGCAGATATACATGTGGACCCCAGCAGATATACACGTGGACCCCAGCAGATATACATGTGGACCCCAGCAGATATACACGTGGACCCCAGCAGATATACCTGTGGACCCCAGCAGATATACACGTGGACCCCAGCAGATATACCTGTGGACCCCAGCAGATATACACGTGGACCCCAGCAGATATACACGTGGACCCCAGCAGATATACACGTGGACCCCAGCAGATATACCTGTGGACCCCAGCAGATATACATGTGGACCCCAGCAGATATACACGTGGACCCCAGCAGATATACCTGTGGACCCCAGCAGATATACATGTGGACCCCAGCAGATATACACGTGGACCCCAGCAGATATACACGTGGACCCCAGCAGATATACACGTGGACCCCAGCAGATATACATGTGGCCTCCAGCAGATATACATGTGGCCTCCAGCAGATATACATGTGGACCCCAGCAGATATACATGTGGACCCCAGCAGATATACACGTGGACCCCAGCAGATATACATGTGGACCCCAGCAGATGTTCGTGTGGATAACTACTACGCGCTTCACTCAACGGGATGAGTGATCTTACAGAGTACTTCAGAGCTGTGTGGAAGCGTCTTATATCCGGTGTAGGGAAAGCTGTGAGTTGTGTGTGTGAGAGAGAGAGAGAGAGAGAGAGAGAGAGAGAGAGAGAGAGAGAGAGAGAGAGAGAGAGAGAGAGAGAGAGAGAGAGAGAGAGAGAGAGAGAGAGAGAGAGAGAGAAAATCTTAATACATGTTTATCTAATTTATGTTACATATTTGTTTTAGCATTTATTTGATTCTCGATAAATAACACATTTTATATAGAAGGTGCAACAGGCAACATTATAATATAGTCACGCACCCGCCGCCCGCAGCCGCCCACGCCCTCCGCCGCCCGCAGCCGCCCACGCCCTCCGCCGCCCGCGCAACCCGACAACATCCTCGACCACTCCTGGGGCGCCCACCGGTACGTCGGCGCCGCCCAAGACCGTAATTACCGCGTAAAGCGAAAAACTGGCAGTGAATAACAAACGGTCGGGATAAAGCTGATCTTCCTTTTCTAATGTCAAGATTTGGGGCCCGGAGTCTGCGGCGCAGCTGTCACTTGCAGACGTCAGGCAGCTCTAAATGCCGGGGTAATTATCGTCTATTAACCACCAACCTGGTCATTAGCCAATCAAGGAAGCGGACAAGTAAAGGCTCCGCAGGAAAATCAAGTCGCTAAATTTACCCGAATATTGCGAGCCACACACTTGGTGCAGGAGCCGTGTGGTGGGCCTGGTGTGGTGCAGGAGCCATGTGGTGGGCCTGGTGTGGTGCAGGAGCCGTGTGGTGGGCCTGGTGTGGTGCAGGAGCCGTGTGGTGGGCCCAGTGTGGTGCAGGAGCCGTGTGGTGGGCCTGGTGTGGTGCAGGAGCCGTGTGGTGGGCCTGGTGTGGTGGAGGAGCCGTGTGGTGGGCCTGGTGTGGTGCAGGAGCCGTGTGGTGGGCCTGGTGTGGTGCAGGAGCCGTGTGGTGGGCCTGGTGTGGTGCAGGAGCCGTGTGGTGGGCCTGGTGTGGTGCAGGAGCCGTGTGGTGGGCCCAGTGTGGTGCAGGAGCCGTGTGGTGGGCCTGGTGTGGTGCAGGAGCCGTGTGGTGGGCCTGGTGTGGTGCAGGAGCCGTGTGGTGCAGGAGCCGTGTGGTGGCCCTGGTGTGGTGCAGGAGCCGTGTGGTGGGCCCAGTGTGGAGCAGGAGCCGTGTGGTGGGCCTGGTGTGGTGCAGGAGCCGTGTGGTGGGCCCAGTGTGGAGCAGGAGCCGTGTGGTGGGCCCAGTGTGGAGCAGGAGCCGTGTGGTGGGCCTGGTGTGGTGCAGGAGCCGTGTGGTGGGCCCAGTGTGGAGCAGGAGCCGTGTGGTGGCCCTGGTGTGGTGCAGGAGCCGTGTGGTGGGTCCAGTGTGGTGCAGGAGCCGTGTGGTGGGCCTGGTGTGGTGCAGGAGCCGTGTGGTGGCCCTGGTGTGGTGCAGGAGCCGTGTGGTGGGTCCAGTGTGGTGCAGGAGCCGTGTGGTGGCCCTGGTGTGGTGCAGGAGCCGTGTGGTGGCCCTGGTGTGGTGCAGGAGCCGTGTGGTGGGTCCAGTGTGGTGCAGGAGCCGTGTGGTGGCCCTGGTGTGGTGCAGGAGCCGTGTGGTGGGTCCAGTGTGGTGCAGGAGCCGTGTGGTGGGCCCAGTGTGGTGCAGGAGCCGTGTGGTGGGCCCAGTGTGGTGCAGGAGCCGTGTGGTGGGTCCAGTGTGGTGCAGGAGCCGTGTGGTGGGCCCAGTGTGGTGCAGGAGCCGTGTGGTGGGTCCAGTGTGGTGCAGGAGCCGTGTGGTGGGTCCAGTGTGGGGCAGGAGCCGTGTGGTGGCCCTGGTGTGGTGCAGGAGCCGTGTGGTGGGCCCAGTGTGGTGCAGGAGCCGTGTGGTGGGCCCAGTGTGGTGCAGGAGCCGTGTGGTGGGCCCAGTGTGGGGCAGGAGCCGTGTGGTGGGCCCAGTGTGGGGCAGGAGCCGTGTGGTGGGCCCAGTGTGGTGCAGGAGCCGTGTGGTGGGCCCAGTGTGGGGCAGGAGCCGTGTGGTGGGCCCAGTGTGGTGCAGGAGCCGTGTGGTGGGTTAAACCTGGGTGTTAGACAGCTGTCCCGGGCTGCTTTCTGGGGGGTGGAGGCCTGGTCGAGGACCGGGCCGCGGTGACACTAAGCCCCGAAATCATCTCAAGATAACCAAGATAACCATCTTATGCATCGATAGATACATTCCATTCATCACTTAGAAGCGATTTGAACCAGAACTCAGCATAATAAGTACCTCCTCAGTACGGCCTTAAGATAACATTATTATAAAATCTTGCGCAATCATTTAAATATATCAGTATAGGATATTTATAAACATTCCCGCGAACACACTAAGAAAAATATAAACTTTTCCTAATCGAATGCGGCAAACTTTACTAATTAGGTCAATTAGCAAACTTTCTGCCTGTAACACCCCAGACACTGAAACTAGTGTTAAAATCCACACACACCCTCCCCGTCTCTGCCCCCCCTCCCCAATACACACACACACACACACACACACACACACACAGGGAGGAGGGAGGAGGCACTTAACTACAGACCTGTATCACTGACAAGCATCCCCTGTAAAATACTGGAAAGAATAATTAGGCTGCGACTGGTTGCACACCTGGAGAACATTAGGTTTGTGAACAAACATCAACATGGGTTCTGGACAGGGAAATCGTGCCTAACAAACCTTCTGGAATTCTATGATAAAATAACGAGGATAAGACAGGACAGAGATGGTTGGGCAGACTGCATATTTCTGGACTGCCAAAAAGCCTTTGATACAGTACCGCACATGAGACTGCTGTTCAAGCTCGAGAGGCAGGCGGGGGTGGGGGGAAAGGTCCTAGAATGGATAAGGAACTACCTAACAGGAAGGAGCCAAAGAGTTACGGTAAGGGGCGAGAAGTCGGACTGGCGAACAGTAACAAGTGGAGTACCACAAGGATCGGTGCTGGGACCAATTCTATTTCTTGTATATGTTAACGACATGTTTACAGGCGTAGAGTCCTACATGTCGATGTTTGCGGATGATGCAAAGTTGATGAGAAGAGTTGTGACAGATCTGGGACCTGAACAGGTTGCAGAGATGGTCAGAGAAATGGCTACTGGAATTCAACACGAGCAAATGTAAAGTTATGGAAATGGGACTAGGAGATAGGAGACCAAAGGGACAATACACAATGAAGGGGAACAGCCTACCTGTAACGACGCGTGAAAGAGACCTGGGGGTGGACGTAACACCTAATCTATCTCCTGAGGCACATATTAATAGGATAACGACAGCAGCGTACTCTACACTGGCAAAAGTTAGAACATCATTCAGAAACCTAAGTAAGGAGGCATTTAGGGCGCTTTACACTGCCTACGTAAGGCCAGTCTTAGAGTATGCCGCCTCATCATGGAGTCCCCATCTGAAGAAGCATATAATGAAACTGGAAAAGGTTCAGAGGATTGCAACGAGACTCGTCCCAGAGCTACGAGGGATGGGGTATGAAGAGCGCCTGAGGGAACTGTGCCTTACGACACTAGAAAGAAGAAGGGAGAGGGGGGACATGATAGGAACGTATAAGATACTCAGAGGAATTGACAGAGTGGACATAGACGAAATGTTCACACGGAATAGTAACAGAACGAGAGGACATGGATGGAAGCTTGAAACTCAGATGAGTCACAGAGATGTTAGGAAGTTTTCTTTTAGCGTGAGAGTAGTGGGGAAATGGAATGCACTTCAGGAACAGGTTGTGGAAGCAAATACTATTCATAATTTTAAAACCAGGTATGATAGGGAAATAGGACAGGAGTCATTGCTGTAAACAACCGATGCTCGAAAGGCGGGATCCAAGAGTCAATGCTCGATCCTGCAGACACAACTAGGTGAGTACAACTAGGTGAGTACACACACACTCACACACTCACAGTTGAGAGGCGGGACTAAAGAGCCAGAGCTCAACCCCTGCAAACACAACTAGATGAGTACAACTAGGTGAGTACACACACACACACACACACACACACACACACACACACACACACACACACACACACACACACACACACACACACACACACACACACACACACACACACACACACACACACACACACACACACACACACACACACAACTTGTGTAAAGACTCATTCAGAACCTTTGTGTACCTCATGTGTCAGATCAGTACTGGAGGTCAGGTGGAGTTATGAGGAGGATTAAGATTGAGGAAGACAGAAAGAGACTACAAGATGATCTGGGCAAACTGAATGAATGGTACAACAAGTAGCTACTTGAGTTTAACTCAAGTGCAAAATAATGAAATTATGTGAAGAGGAGAGGACGAGGGACACAGTACCAAACGGGACATAAAATTCTTCAGGAACCAGGTAGAGAAAAAGATCTGAGGGTTGATATCACAGCCAATCTGTCTCCTGAAGTCCACGGCAAAAGGATATCTTCAGCAGCGTATGCCAGATTGGTCAACATGAGAACTGCCTATTGAAATTTGTGTCAGGAATCATTCAGAACCTTTGTATACCTCATATGTTTAGTCAAGCACAAGGCAAAGTTAGAAAAAGTTCTGAACTTATGTATAAATGTATGTTCAAAAGTACTTTCAGTACTTTCAGGGCGACAGTAATTAAATCTCATGTCGCTGGAAGACAGGAGATTTAGGGGGAGGGAGACATGATCACCATATTCAACATTTTCTGGGCAATTGATCTAGTAGGTAAAGGTAGATTATTTAACACGGGTGGTTCTCGCACAAGGGGACACAGGTGGAATCTGAGTACCCAAGTGAACCACAGAGACATTAGAAAGAATAATTTTACTGTCAGAATAGTTAACAAATGGAATGCATTAGGCAGTGTTGTGGTGGAGGCTGACTCCATACACAGTTTCAAATGTAGATATGATAGAGCCCAGTAGGCTCAGGAACCTGTACACCAGTTAATTGACGGTTGAGAGGC